CATTCCTCTTATTTGCTTTTGATATTCATAATGTTATTAGTTATACAATTAATATGCGAATGCGGACACTTAGTTCTCATATTGTTGTGTCGTAATATTTTTGTTTTGAAAGTTTGCTCCCCTATTTATACAATTACTTTTTGACCTTTAACATTATTTGTTGAATCTAAACTTGGATCTTTATATTTTTCCTTGTGAACTGTTCTAACTATTCATGATGATGAATATCCCTATTCTATTGAGTTATTCTTCTGTTGCGTTTATGATTATTGTTTTGGTAATGTTTTGTGGTTCCTATGTTATATGTGATATCCACTTAATTATGAAATAGTTTAGGTACATATTTTGAATTTTCACTGGTTGAGGACTTGTGTATGCGGATTGTGTTCGATGCAGGCCGGTTCCATATTTGTACCCAGTTGGACACTTTTCACTTCACTTATTGTTATGGATTAAAGAGACTCTCCGTGTTTTGTAATTATTATGTGGTGCGACGCTGACCAGGCAGTGGTCATTCATATGCCAAATATATGCGTTTATGTTGATTTGGCGAAGATAACCTTGTATTGGCAATGGCCAGATGTTTGATTACTTGTCCCGAAAACTTATTCTCCTGTATATTATATTTAAAGAATATTTGTCATAAATAGGATTCTCTTCCATACTACAACGCATTTATAACTATCTTCATTGTCCAATGAATGTGAATCATCTGCGGTCTGTTATTTTTATGTTTAGGAGGGTTACATCTGATCTCCTCCTTTGTTTATTACTAGTACACTTTTTATGATTATATTCAGGATCACTTATTTTAGAATGGGACTATCCGCTGATGTTGCCTCATCTTCGAATGGGTTTCAACAAGCCAGACCCTCGATTTTGATCTTCTAGAGAAATGACTCAGGAAGCCAACTAATAGCCCAACTACAGTAACCAAAATCTAAAGTTAGGATCATTCTGTAAAGAGAAGAAATGGACCATACCTGCACAGGAGGAAAACTAACTTTTCCAATATGATCTTCCCCAGCAAAACCAAAGATGCCAACAGCCTGGTTATAAGTCACACGTGATGCAACCTCACACATGTTCTTGTAGAAGGAACTGAAAAGGAAAATTATCCTCATACGACAGAAGATTTACTTTACGTAATTCAAAGTAAAACAGTAAAAGAGATTGGGAAATTTCTCATGATACAGTTTATTCCAAAACATAAAATATTTACTCAGTATTTTCTCTTTTAATTATGGTGTGATAAAAGCTCCAAATTAGTTTTAACAGTCATTCATTTTTTAAATATAAGAATGAGACCCAAAAACATTTAAAGTTCTCGCACATTAAAGGTTGCTGAACTAAAAATTTCTATGAGAAAACTTCATCTTGGAAATAAATTCTGTGCAATGTTCTGGATAAACTGGAGAAATTTTTGCTAAATAAGAGAAAACCATGCCTAAGATTCAACTAATTTTAATAATGTATATCTAAACATTCTCAATAAAATCCCTTAAACTTTAATAATCCATGATTTAATAAATCTGCATATATCAGGGAAATACTGCCTTTATAACTCACCCGCCAACATAATTAAAATCAGAGAAGATGAACGTCTTTGAAATGTCAAAACCACAAGCAATGATGTCCTTTGCATTCTCCCTTGCAAGTCTTCGACACTCCTCTACAGTAAGATTTTTCCAGAAGAACTTTTCATCATCAGTGAGCTGTATAACCAGAGGAACCTTAAACACATCTTGCAAATACCTACATACCATTTTCCGCCAAGTCAAAAAACATCCCGAGCAATCACAACAATTGAGAATTCACCTTCCTTTCTAGCTTGACCCACAACTTAAACATCTAATTTCAATCAATTATCATGGTAAAACTCTCTTAACCTATCATTTATGAAAATGACTACATCAATACAAAAAGCAGACTACACTAACACAGAAATTCTAATAGATATTGCCTACACAATATATTTACAATTTTTCGTCAAATTTCCACTTAAATAAAAAAATGAAACCCAGTCAACCTATACAAATTGGTCAAGAAATAAGCCACTAGCGTCAACCAATTCATGTACCAAATTCTAAGCCCACTCTTTAAAATTCAATCTTAAATACAAAAACACACATTAGATTATCAATTTTTTTATCAACCTGCACAATACCGACCTAAAAACAAGCCAATAGTGTCAACCAATTCAGGTACCAAACTCTTAACTAGCTCCCTCTTTAAAATCCACTAGCAATCACAAAAGGCTGCACCAAACTAGATCTACAAACTTAAATCAAAATTCATTTTAAATCCTCAAAAGAAGAAAACGGAGACACGCGAACTCTCTCACTTAGTGAACATGAAGGGAATCAAATGTCCCAAGTGCAAAGATTCAGAGGAAGGTCCGCGCCCGGTGTACAAGTAAAACTTATCGCCTCTCTCGTACGCGTCGAGAATCTCCGCGAAATCGCTGCAACACATAAACGATACTCTCAAATCACCGTTTAAGCAAATGAAGGGAGTGAATGAAGGAAATGGAGGTACCGGTGGGCGAAGAAAACGTGGCGTCGTAGAAAAACGTGAGGCGTACGCGAGGTGAGGCGTTCGAGACGCGAAATGAGAGCGTCGTCGAGCTTCTGGCAACCAAAACGGTCGATGAGTTTGTCGTAGTCGATTTTTCCTTTTGAAGAAACCTCCCATGGATTAACGACTTGTTCGGCCTCCTCTTCTAGATTCTTCTTCTCAACCTCTGTCGTTGCTGCCATTGAATTTCTTCTTCTTCTTCTTCTCTCTCTTTGGAAATGGAATTGTAGTGCCTCTGCAAAGACTTAACAGAGTGTGTGCCGTAGGGTTTTGATCTTTCAAACCTTTCTTGTTATCTTTTAGAAGTGTTTTTTAGTTTAATGTTAGAAGGTTTTACTTGGCTTGTCCTTGTCAATTTAGATTCATACAGTATTGTATTATTTTGAAATAAAAAAAATCATGACAAATTTAGTTGTATGTATAGTTTGTAGAAGCATATGTAAAAATATTTTAAATGAATATATTAAATTATTTTTAGTGTGTGACTCAATTAAGTAATGTGATGTAATTTACTTTTCTCAATTATGAAATCTCAATATATTAATAATACTAAATTTTATATTATATTATTTAATAATTATTACTTTTGTCCATAAGTTATTATTCACATAAGATACTTATATAATATTGAATAATAAATTATATTTGTTTATAATTTGTATGAAAAATAAAAAAATTCATTTTATACGTTATGAAAAAACCAATATTCTTTATATTATTTTTTAATTACTTAATGATCATAAATGAAAAAAGCAACTGTTATTGTTTTATATTACATATGAATTTTAATATATTATAATAAATAGTGCTTATATTTTTAGTCTCTGGATGAAATCATTCATATTGTAGGGAGGTTATACCTAAAAGTTTATATTCACATACGTTCTTTTATTGACATTTAGCACTTTTAAAAAATAAATTTTAAATTAAAAATTAAAAATTAAAAATAAAAGTGAAATAGAAAGTGAGAAAGAATGCACTAGTAAGATATAAATGTTTGTTTTTAAATCGGATTTTACTTAAAATGACATTTAATTAACAAATTAAAATAGCTAGAAGTTCAATTCAAATTGGATTATGCTTTTTTTAGAAACAATTTATCCATACAAATAAAAAACGATTCGAATTGGATGATTCATTTTTGATCTACAAATCCTTAAACAATTAAATTACTAGATCCATTTTTGGCAATTATTCAAAAATTAAAATACAGAAAATGTAAAAAAAAAATCGTGAAACATAAAATTTAGAATGTATAAATTATTTAATGATAAAATTTTAATATGATAAACTATTTATTTTTCTTTTAAGCTATGAAATTCAAAGTACAAAATGATTTTCTTAAAAAAATATATGAATTTTTTTCATATAAAAATCATGGATTTATTTTATAATATTCATCCCTTCAAAATATATTTAACTTTCAATATGCAATCAGGTGAAAATCATTCACATATCCATTCTATGTTTGTTTTTTTGTTTTTTTTAATTTGGTACTGTTATTTGTAATTCTTTTAATCAAATTCTCTATAATAATTTTCTCCACACATAAAATACATTACCATCAACTTAACTTTCTTCTAGAAGACAATAATAATGATATTGTAGGAGAAGAATAACTAATCCTTTGTTGATATTCTAAGTGACATATTTTGCCTTACCAGAAATCAAAACTCCCAAACAGGTAATTTGAGGAATAATAAATAACTTGATCTTGTTACATGTTCTACAAACGATTTCATATATAATTAAGGAAAGAGCAAAAAGTGAGCACAGTGAACTCACAAACATATCACTATTGCTGCAACTTGAGTACTGGGAAGGCGATAACATCTCGAATACTGGGAGAATTTGTCAAAAGCATCACGAGCCTATCAATTCCAAGTCCCTGGATTTGTAAATGGCAATTAAAAGACTACAACAGGAAAGGAAAACCAATTTGCTATTCGAACACTTTGTAGGTCAAACAATGCTGACAAAGATTATTAACATCACAATTCAGAGAAGTGAAATCATTAGCTTGCATACACCATGGTTGTTGCCTATTACACTAATTATATCACTCATACACAAGCATTGAAATTCCAGTAATAGCTTATAATTCATTCATTTCTAATACATATGTTCTTCAATAAGAAATTCAATAAACTATTGAAACATAAATTTGAAGATAAAAAGTAAACATGAGAATATACACAATGAAAATCATAACGGACCTTTATAACACTGTATTTAGTAAAGTAACATTTTAAAATGAAGAATGATTATGATATAAATTGAACATGATGATTTTGCTCTTAAAAAATGACACTATCAGAAAATTAATCTATTATTAAGTTGATTTCAAGACAAGATAATTGTTGATTGCATTGGACAGAATCAGTGCCTTCAATACGTGACCATGTTAATACCACAAGAAAAAATAAGGGTAAGTTCCACAACTATACAAAGATACACAATGCAGACATACCATTCCCGAAGCTGGAGGCATTCCGTATTCCAAAGCTGTGAGAAAGTCATCATCAAGAGTTACTTCATACGAGTCATCTTCATCATCCTTTCCTTCCTTTTTATCATCATTTGCCGAAATAGCTGACCTCTTCTTTTCATGCTGTTTAATTTGATCTTCCAAGCGTCCCCTCTACCAAGTTCAGAGAAGAAACCATAATTAAATTGAGACAGTTAATTAAGTTCAGAGAAGAAACCATTAGAGTTCATTCTTTTTCCAAACAGGTGGGGCAAAGTCATTTTCTATTTCTGGTGGTATCTGGAACAGATTAACGAACGAACCATTCAAGTTTTCTCTTTATTTTTGGTTCCTAATACCTAACTTGGTTATCCATGTAAAGTTGAAGAAGAGTAGCTGTGAACTTAAAATTGGATGTGAAAAAAAAATGGAGAAATCGCATGCAGTTAATGCACAAAGCACCAATTTGATTATCATGCAGCACCAAGTTTGACTTGTTTTCCTGTTAGTATGTCATCAAATTGTCATAAATGATACTGAACTTATTATCCAATATGTCATCTATCTTGTTAAGGTAATTGCAGAAAAAGAAAAAGGAAAAGAAAAATAAACTACTCTGAACTAACAACCACAAGAACCTAAACCTACTTCTAAAATAACAGAGAATAGTATTTGTTAGGATATAGGGTGACAGTATTTTATATTTATCTTACCAGGATCTTATTTTCCCCTTTTCTAGTGGTTGAATATGAGAAACAAATGATGACAAACACATTATATATAGTGTACGATAAGCAAAATCTACACAAGCTATGCAACTTGGATCTGAAAAGTTTGAAAACTTGAATCTTACCTGATCTATGGGATCAGTCAATTCGGAGAATGCATTCCCCAACTCACGGCCACAAATGAAAAGTTCAAATCTCTCAGTCAAACCTGTGTATCTAATGTAGGATCATGTGTAAGATAGAAGCTACTATCTAGAAACAGAAACTGTGCATCACTTTCTTATTGAGATTGGCCAGGATGCCTTTTTTAAAATAAATGTAATCACTGCATGCCAGAAAGTACGTAGTACAACATTCCCGAGTTCATATTCCCGGGGATGAGTTTTAATCTGTGAAACAAATATTCTAAGTTCGAAAAGATTAATATTTCATAGTATGTAGGATAAAAATACCTTTAATAACAGCAAATAACATTATTTGATATTTTGAGATGTTTCTACCTTCTGTGTGGTTTGGCAAGGGGAGATATCTCAATCGGATAGTCTAGAACAAAAGTAGGTTGGATGAGCTTTGGTTCTACAAAAATCTCAAAAACCTAAATAAACAAAACAAAAACAATTTGGTTAGTGTCTGCAAATCAAATTGACAGTATAATAAATGCAAAAAGTGCAAAAGAGAGGAATATCAATATAAAAGGAGAAAAAATGTAATTGCAAAAAAGAACTAAATTTATCAAATGAAAAGAATAAAAACTGGATGCTCATGAATAAAATCTACCTCATTAAGAAGGTGGCCAACGGACTGGCATGCTTCAATGGAACCTTTATCCTTGTTATCAAGATTCTTTNTTTTAGAAACAATTTATCCATACAAATAAAAAACGATTCGAATTGGATGATTCATTTTTGATCTACAAATCCTTAAACAATTAAATTACTAGATCCATTTTTGGCAATTATTCAAAAATTAAAATACAGAAAATGTAAAAAAAAAATCGTGAAACATAAAATTTAGAATGTATAAATTATTTAATGATAAAATTTTAATATGATAAACTATTTATTTTTCTTTTAAGCTATGAAATTCAAAGTACAAAATGATTTTCTTAAAAAAATATATGAATTTTTTTCATATAAAAATCATGGATTTATTTTATAATATTCATCCCTTCAAAATATATTTAACTTTCAATATGCAATCAGGTGAAAATCATTCACATATCCATTCTATGTTTGTTTTTTTGTTTTTTTTAATTTGGTACTGTTATTTGTAATTCTTTTAATCAAATTCTCTATAATAATTTTCTCCACACATAAAATACATTACCATCAACTTAACTTTCTTCTAGAAGACAATAATAATGATATTGTAGGAGAAGAATAACTAATCCTTTGTTGATATTCTAAGTGACATATTTTGCCTTACCAGAAATCAAAACTCCCAAACAGGTAATTTGAGGAATAATAAATAACTTGATCTTGTTACATGTTCTACAAACGATTTCATATATAATTAAGGAAAGAGCAAAAAGTGAGCACAGTGAACTCACAAACATATCACTATTGCTGCAACTTGAGTACTGGGAAGGCGATAACATCTCGAATACTGGGAGAATTTGTCAAAAGCATCACGAGCCTATCAATTCCAAGTCCCTGGATTTGTAAATGGCAATTAAAAGACTACAACAGGAAAGGAAAACCAATTTGCTATTCGAACACTTTGTAGGTCAAACAATGCTGACAAAGATTATTAACATCACAATTCAGAGAAGTGAAATCATTAGCTTGCATACACCATGGTTGTTGCCTATTACACTAATTATATCACTCATACACAAGCATTGAAATTCCAGTAATAGCTTATAATTCATTCATTTCTAATACATATGTTCTTCAATAAGAAATTCAATAAACTATTGAAACATAAATTTGAAGATAAAAAGTAAACATGAGAATATACACAATGAAAATCATAACGGACCTTTATAACACTGTATTTAGTAAAGTAACATTTTAAAATGAAGAATGATTATGATATAAATTGAACATGATGATTTTGCTCTTAAAAAATGACACTATCAGAAAATTAATCTATTATTAAGTTGATTTCAAGACAAGATAATTGTTGATTGCATTGGACAGAATCAGTGCCTTCAATACGTGACCATGTTAATACCACAAGAAAAAATAAGGGTAAGTTCCACAACTATACAAAGATACACAATGCAGACATACCATTCCCGAAGCTGGAGGCATTCCGTATTCCAAAGCTGTGAGAAAGTCATCATCAAGAGTTACTTCATACGAGTCATCTTCATCATCCTTTCCTTCCTTTTTATCATCATTTGCCGAAATAGCTGACCTCTTCTTTTCATGCTGTTTAATTTGATCTTCCAAGCGTCCCCTCTACCAAGTTCAGAGAAGAAACCATAATTAAATTGAGACAGTTAATTAAGTTCAGAGAAGAAACCATTAGAGTTCATTCTTTTTCCAAACAGGTGGGGCAAAGTCATTTTCTATTTCTGGTGGTATCTGGAACAGATTAACGAACGAACCATTCAAGTTTTCTCTTTATTTTTGGTTCCTAATACCTAACTTGGTTATCCATGTAAAGTTGAAGAAGAGTAGCTGTGAACTTAAAATTGGATGTGAAAAAAAAATGGAGAAATCGCATGCAGTTAATGCACAAAGCACCAATTTGATTATCATGCAGCACCAAGTTTGACTTGTTTTCCTGTTAGTATGTCATCAAATTGTCATAAATGATACTGAACTTATTATCCAATATGTCATCTATCTTGTTAAGGTAATTGCAGAAAAAGAAAAAGGAAAAGAAAAATAAACTACTCTGAACTAACAACCACAAGAACCTAAACCTACTTCTAAAATAACAGAGAATAGTATTTGTTAGGATATAGGGTGACAGTATTTTATATTTATCTTACCAGGATCTTATTTTCCCCTTTTCTAGTGGTTGAATATGAGAAACAAATGATGACAAACACATTATATATAGTGTACGATAAGCAAAATCTACACAAGCTATGCAACTTGGATCTGAAAAGTTTGAAAACTTGAATCTTACCTGATCTATGGGATCAGTCAATTCGGAGAATGCATTCCCCAACTCACGGCCACAAATGAAAAGTTCAAATCTCTCAGTCAAACCTGTGTATCTAATGTAGGATCATGTGTAAGATAGAAGCTACTATCTAGAAACAGAAACTGTGCATCACTTTCTTATTGAGATTGGCCAGGATGCCTTTTTTAAAATAAATGTAATCACTGCATGCCAGAAAGTACGTAGTACAACATTCCCGAGTTCATATTCCCGGGGATGAGTTTTAATCTGTGAAACAAATATTCTAAGTTCGAAAAGATTAATATTTCATAGTATGTAGGATAAAAATACCTTTAATAACAGCAAATAACATTATTTGATATTTTGAGATGTTTCTACCTTCTGTGTGGTTTGGCAAGGGGAGATATCTCAATCGGATAGTCTAGAACAAAAGTAGGTTGGATGAGCTTTGGTTCTACAAAAATCTCAAAAACCTAAATAAACAAAACAAAAACAATTTGGTTAGTGTCTGCAAATCAAATTGACAGTATAATAAATGCAAAAAGTGCAAAAGAGAGGAATATCAATATAAAAGGAGAAAAAATGTAATTGCAAAAAAGAACTAAATTTATCAAATGAAAAGAATAAAAACTGGATGCTCATGAATAAAATCTACCTCATTAAGAAGGTGGCCAACGGACTGGCATGCTTCAATGGAACCTTTATCCTTGTTATCAAGATTCTTTCCAAGGGTATCTAGAGTAACACGCTTTGCAACCTCAATATCATCTCCAAATTCGTTGAAATCGATCCCAGCAATTTCTTTAACAAGATTGTGCATAGTCTCCCTCCTCCAAGGCCTTTCCAGACATATCTCAACTCCCTGTATGGAATCATTACACCACCTTCAATAAATTTGTTATACGGAATTAAATTTCAGTATAATGTCTTCACTCATCAAACACCAGCTGACATTTAAATTTTTTTAGTTAATGCTAAGCTATCATTGAGGGAACTACATGAGAGAAAATGTCTAGAATATATATAAAAAAAAAAGTTCATTTTAAGTTTTAAAGCACTATTGTAAATATAATATCCTCTGTTGACAGGATGAGAACAGAAGGGCTGCAAGGAACAATGAGCAAATTTGAAGATAAATATATAAAATTGGTAGTAGGTTTAATTAAGATTAGATAAATAAAAAGGTATATTTGAAAGTAATTCATAATATGAAAGTTTCACTTAAATAAGGGATGTATCAAATGATAATTCTTTACTATTTTGAAAAATAAAAACTAATAATTTGGACTATAAAACTAGGCATGGTTGGTCAAGATTAAAAGTTAGCCAGTGTACACATGACCACTTAAAAAGATTATGCATCCACCGGCTGTATCTTGGTCATAAAAATACAATTCTTGACACAATATATCTATTGTTTATATTTATAGTTCTTATTTCTCATTTTAACAAAAGTTCTCAGATGGTACATTACCTATATGTATACACGTGCACACAAATATATATATATATATTCACCCCATATGTTGTGTGTGTGTATAAACACTCTCTGTAGTTATATAATGGCTGGATAAACTATCACAAATATATGAAGATTAGAATTTTCTGAGTTGTATAATTGATACAATGATAAGAAGCTTCCTCTTATATTCTAAAAATTTCAAAATCTACCTATGACTGTGAATTGTTTTCCTTGGGTGAACTATAAATGAAGTTTTGGGTTTCCAATTTTTTTTACAGAAGTTGCTTAATAAAAAAAAGGTGACAAAAAACTTAAAGTGAAGAGAAAATAAATGACCTATCTGATTTTGAACATAAGACAATGACACTCAAGGTGGTTTTATCCATGTAGCCAATTCACTAGTTACGAAATGGCTTTGGAGGTCTTTTTGGTTGTACGAGAAAATAAAAGAAAAATGTATACTTGTATCCAATGTAAAAAAGAAAAAAAAATCACTGAATAAAAAAAAATTGAGAACTTAATTGCCTTTTTAATCAAATTATAAATAAATAAACTTTTAAAGAAAAAACAGATGTATTATTGTGGGATTCATTCAAGTTCTGATCTCGTTTATGATTAATTTTTTTATTTTTGGCTTGAGAGCCATTATTTAATATTTCTTTTATATTGAGTACTAATTATTACATTGCTAAAAAGGTAACATAACATACTATTATAAATTTTGATGATATTGTAAAATTTTAATAACATTTTTATTAAATTTGAATAAGGAATTTTCTATTATGCGTGAAGGCACAAGATAAGAAGTTAAAATTGAAAGGTGCTGTTGGAAAAGAAAGTATTTATATTGTCAAAAACACAAAAAATATACCATAATCATTTTTTCAAGTGATTTAAATAAAGTATTTACAGATGTGTCTGTAGTACTCTTATTATGTGCCAATAGACAGCCCCGTTGATTGATAATATATTTACTTAAATTAAGCAATCAGAACCAAGAATGTTTTTTGTCAAATTGAACATCCATATATCTAAATATTATAATTATAATATGGTGGTACTCCTAGCCCTCCCTTACAGATCAAAGTCCCAACATTTGCCCCGAAAATTGGGGATCAATCAAGGGGGCACTACACCTTCCTATTTAAACATTGAACAATAAACAATACAGTAACATGTTTTATCCGTTCTAGAGGCTTAGGCATCTCTTCTAACACATCTAACCAATTCAATTCTAGATTAAATTTAGTAAGAACAGCGTCTACCTGATAATCAACTGTAAGCTTCCCATGAACTGCTAGAGCACATCGAGTGACAATCTCCTCTGCCAAACTCATCATACTTTGATAATCCGAGTATGCTTCGTACATCTAAAGTTTAACTAGTATCAATATTTAACAGAATGCAATTCAATATATAGTGAAAAAGGTCATGTGCAAATTGAAATATCAAACGATCACTGCTAAATCATTTTGAAATCCAACATATGAGGAAATCCAACATATGAGGAAATGTTATTTATGTTCACATCAAGTACCAAAACTAACTAAATATTACTATGAAAACCTCACCGGAAAAGTGAACAAAAACTAAAAATGAAAACCAAGACTATCGACAAGCTAGCGTGGTGATCCTCTAAACCACCACCAAATTTTCCATATCCCCTTCTCTTCCCCCACCCCAATTTTTCTCTTATGTAACATCTCCCTTCTCCCCCCGTGAGTCCCAAATCTTCTTACATGCCACCTGTCCCAATTCTGTCATGAAATTCTCTCTGCTAATTGAATTTTCCACTTCCTGCCCTCTTCAGCTATTCTTCCTTTTCCTCTCATATTAACAGCTAGTTGTTATTGGATCCAGGTTTTCCGCTTCTGCTATAGAACTGCAGTTCGGGCCTATGTAACGGAAGCTTAAAAATTCACCTCCAGAATCTAAACTCTTACCTCTATAGTTGTAAATTCAGGATTATGTCGAGTTGAAATTCCTTCATTCCTAAATATTCGACCAATCTCGTATACTTTTTCAAAGCCACCCACCTACCATAAAGAAAAGGATTAAAATGGTTAATGACTTCACTAGAAAAATAACATCCATATTAATCAAGCCAGTTTCAAATTTATAGCTTGAAGAATATATGCCATATTCTAGATGAAAATATTTCAAAAAATTTTGCAGCTAATACGAATGAAATTATCCTTAAAAGAAAAGACAACATTTTCTAATTGTTAGTATTGTCAAGAGTAAAATTTCAGCATTCCCACGGCAATTTCAAAATTTGATAAAAAGAAACAATATTTTGACCAGTAATTTTATTCATTTGCATTACATTCAGAATGAATACTTAATGTATTTTCCTTTGTTAAACAAAGAATTGCACCACTACTGAGTGAAGTAAGAAGAGGCAAACCCCTCGATACTTCCTTCCTGTACAAAAAAGAATGTTTCTCTGAGTTCTATTCTAAGCAAGACTTCACAAATAACAAATATGTCAAATCTCACCAGCATTCTCTTAAGATGTAATTCGGTAGCAATTCTCAGATATAAGTCTCTTCCAAGAGAATTATGGTATGTAATAAAAGGTCTGGCTTCTGCTCCCCCAGCTGCTCCCTAGTCAATGAACTTAATCAGTTTCAGGAAAAAAAAAACTTCCATGTACAAATGCCACACTCCTACGTATCATAATTAATAAAATTACAACAAAAGGCATTTTGGAGAGTAATTACATCATATATCACTTAGCAGTTGTATTGAGAGTTGAGACTGAAAGAGCATATGGTACAATCCATAGACAAGGTCCAAAATTTTAATGGTACCTTAATTAGAAAAACTAAAAAGAGGTGACTTGGAGTTGCAGTTATAACCCAAATAGTTAGATGATTGAAAACAAAGCCAACAATGGCATAATAACAGTACAAATCTGGCAGGTTCCACTATGCCATTTAATTGAAATCTTATAACCCCTTTATCAATCTGACATTCATGAGATCCAGTACAATGCATAAATATGAAAATAACCAAACATAAAAGATCATGTATCAAGCTAGCCTGTTAGATCAAAACTTCTAAAAGATCCATGCTCCTTGCTTAAATATAAACAGCATATATCAAACAGCTAGTAGAGTCCCCAACATTTGAAGATGCACTTCTATGTAAATAAAAATATGCAGCCAGGGTAGGTACATTAAAATCAACAAACCTGCAAAACTGGAGTTTCAACTTCAACAAAACCTAAAGAATCCATAGTCCTCCGTATCTCTGATACAACCTATTTGAATGAAATTGATTAGAAGATCAATTTCAATCAAGTTACTTGCTCAGGAAATACATAAGAGAAGTTTGTTAATCAGTCTAAAAGGACAGAAAGTGAGCCTATGATCGCAGAAACCAAAATTCTAANGTGTAAGATAGAAGCTACTATCTAGAAACAGAAACTGTGCATCACTTTCTTATTGAGATTGGCCAGGATGCCTTTTTTAAAATAAATGTAATCACTGCATGCCAGAAAGTACGTAGTACAACATTCCCGAGTTCATATTCCCGGGGATGAGTTTTAATCTGTGAAACAAATATTCTAAGTTCGAAAAGATTAATATTTCATAGTATGTAGGATAAAAATACCTTTAATAACAGCAAATAACATTATTTGATATTTTGAGATGTTTCTACCTTCTGTGTGGTTTGGCAAGGGGAGATATCTCAATCGGATAGTCTAGAACAAAAGTAGGTTGGATGAGCTTTGGTTCTACAAAAATCTCAAAAACCTAAATAAACAAAACAAAAACAATTTGGTTAGTGTCTGCAAATCAAATTGACAGTATAATAAATGCAAAAAGTGCAAAAGAGAGGAATATCAATATAAAAGGAGAAAAAATGTAATTGCAAAAAAGAACTAAATTTATCAAATGAAAAGAATAAAAACTGGATGCTCATGAATAAAATCTACCTCATTAAGAAGGTGGCCAACGGACTGGCATGCTTCAATGGAACCTTTATCCTTGTTATCAAGATTCTTTCCAAGGGTATCTAGAGTAACACGCTTTGCAACCTCAATATCATCTCCAAATTCGTTGAAATCGATCCCAGCAATTTCTTTAACAAGATTGTGCATAGTCTCCCTCCTCCAAGGCCTTTCCAGACATATCTCAACTCCCTGTATGGAATCATTACACCACCTTCAATAAATTTGTTATACGGAATTAAATTTCAGTATAATGTCTTCACTCATCAAACACCAGCTGACATTTAAATTTTTTTAGTTAATGCTAAGCTATCATTGAGGGAACTACATGAGAGAAAATGTCTAGAATATATATAAAAAAAAAAGTTCATTTTAAGTTTTAAAGCACTATTGTAAATATAATATCCTCTGTTGACAGGATGAGAACAGAAGGGCTGCAAGGAACAATGAGCAAATTTGAAGATAAATATATAAAATTGGTAGTAGGTTTAATTAAGATTAGATAAATAAAAAGGGATATTTGAAAGTAATTCATAATATGAAAGTTTCACTTAAATAAGGGATGTATCAAATGATAATTCTTTACTATTTTGAAAAATAAAAACTAACAATTTGGACTATAAAACTAGGCATGGTTGGTCAAGATTAAAAGTTAGCCAGTGTACACATGACCACTTAAAAAGATTATGCATCCACCGGCTGTATCTTGGTCATAAAAATACAATTCTTGACACAATATATCTAATGTTTATATTTATAGTTCTTATTTCTCATTTTAACAAAAGTTCTCAGATGGTACATTACCTATATGTATACACGTGCACACAAATATATATATATATATTCACCCCATATGTTGTGTGTGTGTATAAACACTCTCTGTAGTTATATAATGGCTGGATAAACTATCACAAATATATGAAGATTAGAATTTTCTGAGTTGTATAATTGATACAATGATAAGAAGCTTCCTCTTATATTCTAAAAATTTCAAAATCTACCTATGACTGTGAATTGTTTTCCTTGGGTGAACTATAAATGAAGTTTTGGGTTTCCAATTTTTTTTACAGAAGTTGCTTAATAAAAAAAAGGTGACAAAAAACTTAAAGTGAAGAGAAAATAAATGACCTATCTGATTTTGAACATAAGACAATGACACTCAAGGTGGTTTTATCCATGTAGCCAATTCACTAGTTACGAAATGGCTTTGGAGGTCTTTTTGGTTGTACGAGAAAATAAAAGAAAAATGTATACTTGTATCCAATGTAAAAAAGAAAAAAAAATCACTGAATAAAAAAAAATTGAGAACTTAATTGCCTTTTTAATCAAATTATAAATAAATAAACTTTTAAAGAAAAAACAGATGTATTATTGTGGGATTCATTCAAGTTCTGATCTCGTTTATGATTAATTTTTTTATTTTTGGCTTGAGAGCCATTATTTAATATTTCTTTTATATTGAGTACTAATTATTACATTGCTAAAAAGGTAACATAACATACTATTATAAATTTTGATGATATTGTAAAATTTTAAAAACATTTTTATTAAATTTGAATAAGGAATTTTCTATTATGCGTGAAGGCACAAGATAAGAAGTTAAAATTGAAAGGTGCTGTTGGAAAAGAAAGTATTTATATTGTCAAAAACACAAAAAATATACCATAATCATTTTTTCAAGTGATTTAAATAAAGTATTTACAGATGTGTCTGTAGTACTCTTATTATGTGCCAATAGACAGCCCCGTTGATTGATAATATATTTACTTAAATTAAGCAATCAGAACCAAGAATGTTTTTTGTCAAATTGAACATCCATATATCTAAATATTATAATTATAATATGGTGGTACTCCTAGCCCTCCCTTACAGATCAAAGTCCCAACATTTGCCCCGAAAATTGGGGATCAATCAAGGGGGCACTACACCTTCCTATTTAAACATTGAACAATAAACAATACAGTAACATGTTTTATCCGTTCTAGAGGCTTAGGCATCTCTTCTAACACATCTAACCAATTCAATTCTAGATTAAATTTAGTAAGAACAGCGTCTACCTGATAATCAACTGTAAGCTTCCCATGAACTGCTAGAGCACATCGAGTGACAATCTCCTCTGCCAAACTCATCATACTTTGATAATCCGAGTATGCTTCGTACATCTAAAGTTTAACTAGTATCAATATTTAACAGAATGCAATTCAATATATAGTGAAAAAGGTCATGTGCAAATTGAAATATCAAACGATCACTGCTAAATCATTTTGAAATCCAACATATGAGGAAATCCAACATATGAGGAAATGTTATTTATGTTCACATCAAGTACCAAAACTAACTAAATATTACTATGAAAACCTCACCGGAAAAGTGAACAAAAACTAAAAATGAAAACCAAGACTATCGACAAGCTAGCGTGGTGATCCTCTAAACCACCACCAAATTTTCCATATCCCCTTCTCTTCCCCCACCCCAATTTTTCTCTTATGTAACATCTCCCTTCTCCCCCCGTGAGTCCCAAATCTTCTTACATGCCACCTGTCCCAATTCTGTCATGAAATTCTCTCTGCTAATTGAATTTTCCACTTCCTGCCCTCTTCAGCTATTCTTCCTTTTCCTCTCATATTAACAGCTAGTTGTTATTGGATCCAGGTTTTCCGCTTCTGCTATAGAACTGCAGTTCGGGCCTATGTAACGGAAGCTTAAAAATTCACCTCCAGAATCTAAACTCTTACCTCTATAGTTGTAAATTCAGGATTATGTCGAGTTGAAATTCCTTCATTCCTAAATATTCGACCAATCTCGTATACTTTTTCAAAGCCACCCACCTACCATAAAGAAAAGGATTAAAATGGTTAATGACTTCACTAGAAAAATAACATCCATATTAATCAAGCCAGTTTCAAATTTATAGCTTGAAGAATATATGCCATATTCTAGATGAAAATATTTCAAAAAATTTTGCAGCTAATACGAATGAAATTATCCTTAAAAGAAAAGACAACATTTTCTAATTGTTAGTATTGTCAAGAGTAAAATTTCAGCATTCCCACGGCAATTTCAAAATTTGATAAAAAGAAACAATATTTTGACCAGTAATTTTATTCATTTGCATTACATTCAGAATGAATACTTAATGTATTTTCCTTTGTTAAACAAAGAATTGCACCACTACTGAGTGAAGTAAGAAGAGGCAAACCCCTCGATACTTCCTTCCTGTACAAAAAAGAATGTTTCTCTGAGTTCTATTCTAAGCAAGACTTCACAAATAACAAATATGTCAAATCTCACCAGCATTCTCTTAAGATGTAATTCGGTAGCAATTCTCAGATATAAGTCTCTTCCAAGAGAATTATGGTATGTAATAAAAGGTCTGGCTTCTGCTCCCCCAGCTGCTCCCTAGTCAATGAACTTAATCAGTTTCAGGAAAAAAAAAACTTCCATGTACAAATGCCACACTCCTACGTATCATAATTAATAAAATTACAACAAAAGGCATTTTGGAGAGTAATTACATCATATATCACTTAGCAGTTGTATTGAGAGTTGAGACTGAAAGAGCATATGGTACAATCCATAGACAAGGTCCAAAATTTTAATGGTACCTTAATTAGAAAAACTAAAAAGAGGTGACTTGGAGTTGCAGTTATAACCCAAATAGTTAGATGTTTGAAAACAAAGCCAACAATGGCATAATAACAGTACAAATCTGGCAGGTTCCACTATGCCATTTAATTGAAATCTTATAACCCCTTTATCAATCTGACATTCATGAGATCCAGTACAATGCATAAATATGAAAATAACCAAACATAAAAGATCATGTATCAAGCTAGCCTGTTAGATCAAAACTTCTAAAAGATCCATGCTCCTTGCTTAAATATAAACAGCATATATCAAACAGCTAGTAGAGTCCCCAACATTTGAAGATGCACTTCTATGTAAATAAAAATATGCAGCCAGGGTAGGTACATTAAAATCAACAAACCTGCAAAACTGGAGTTTCAACTTCAACAAAACCTAAAGAATCCATAGTCCTCCGTATCTCTGATACAACCTATTTGAATGAAATTGATTAGAAGATCAATTTCAATCAAGTTACTTGCTCAGGAAATACATAAGAGAAGTTTGTTAATCAGTCTAAAAGGACAGAAAGTGAGCCTATGATCGCAGAAACCAAAATTCTAAATCTTCATTCAAATCAAATCCAATCAAATATATAACTAAGGCAAAAATAAAAAAAGTATCATAACACTTACAGCAACAAGATTTCAAGAAAAAGAAATGTAAACATGTTATAATGTATTACAACCCAAAATAGACATACTGAACATCATTCTTTTACCAATAGTAAGGAAAATTATGTACCACAACGCCAGAGGGCTCCTTGCTATGAGATGTTACGGGGGAGGGACATTACACATGCAAAAAGATTTTTTCTGGATTCAAAACTATTACGCAAGACCAAGCTGGTCACCGAGGTTGAACTTTACCATCATAGTTTTATCAAAATTCTTCACCGAACAGCATGATGACCATAATTCTTTTACTCTCTTAGTCTAGTTTATTTTGGAGGAGAAAAATGCTAAAAGTGTAAGACATTCTCTGGCTGAGCACACTCCCCTTAGAACTCAAAATGCAATTACAATCTAATTGTCTTTGTTATTCACGTATTCCACTGAGTCCAATTCCTAGACTCCTTTCACTTTTGCTCAAGAATTGTAATTTTGATCCTTGATATCCTCCCATGAATTTATAGAATAAATTGTTCAGCTTGATCTGTTTCTCAATAAGAAACACGGAAACAAAAAATAGTTATAGCTCAATTAGGAGACATGGGAAAAGGATTGAAGATAAACTTAATGAGTCTACAACATTACAATTATTTAATGTCAAATTTAAAACAGTTGAATGCCATTGGGTTTAAACTCTTAAGAGATAAAAAAGTTTGGTAGATGAACCACCTTTGCTCTTTTACGGAATACATCGGCTACCTCTGGATTTGCAATCATATCTACGTACCTAACCACAAGTCCACAATTAACAGTGAAGAAACATTTTAAATCATAGCTAATCAATTGATAGTCCAAAAGTGTGAGGTATAATTAGAGAAGACATGGAACGGAGAAGTAATAAGAAATAAATAACGAAAATAAAAAGAAAGAATAAGATATGATATAAGTCATATTTCACAAAATAAGAAATAATAAAAAATACAATCCATTAAAAAATTTGAAAGATGAAGATAATTTACTCAGATGAGAAACAAGAAAGAACATGAGTAGATGTAGATATCCTATTACAAAAATAGAAAGAACTAGATAAAGGAAAAAAAAAATTGTATAGAAGAATTGTAATCATAGTCACTAATAAAATAACAAATGTCTTAGTATATAACAGTGATTTCAATAAGTAAGGAATAAACACAAATATAAAAGCATGAGCTTACCTCTGTCGATAACGTTTATCTATATCAGTTAGTCCATGATATTTGTCAGGAAGTGGAAGCAGAGATTTTGTAAGGATTGCAAAAGATTGGACACACACAGAAAGTTCTCCTGAAGTAAGACCAGAAAAAAACATGAGAAGATGTTCAAATGTTTCATAACTATCAGGCTATCATCTGGCATTTGTCAAAGAGCATATTTAATCCAGCAGAGAAAGGTTATCAATCTCAGGAATTAACTATTTCTCAGTCTGCAATTATCATAACTAGTCCCTAGCAACTTGAAAGAGTAATTACAGGTATGACATATACTAGAAATCTTCAGTAGATAGACACTCATACGACAAATAATCATATATGAAACAAAAGAAGTCTGAGAAAACTCCAGTAGAACATAATACAAAACTTTCAGCAAATATTTTAAAAAATTATTTGGTTTAATCCACCTAGAGACAGCTCGAGACTTCCAATTTGCGTAGACATGTTGTTTACATTTGTAACCTCTTTTACCTTTAAAGAGAAAACCTTCTTGTGAATTTAATTTGTCCCCTGAACTCTCATATTTGCTAACATACTAGATTTTGTGTATGTATCACATCAGCAGCAAACTTTCAGTACCTCAATTTTTATGTAATCTTAGAAAGGGCATATGCATGGGAATTCAAAAGCATACAAAAGTCATAGAATTACTGCAAGTTCTTACCTTTATTTACACTAAGATAACAGATAATACAGATGAAAATCTGGGATAAATTATAAATTATGGGCACAAGAAATAGCATGTTGCAAATGCAAGCCATGTCAATTTACTAAAAACGGCCTAATCATTTAATAAGAGGATTAGTTAAATACCTTTTTCTGTGCGTTTTATTGTTCCCCTTACACCTAATATATCACCAATATCAACATGTGCCTTTAACTCTTCAAACTGATCCCCTATGAGTCTTTCCTTGTCACAATAGAGCTGAAATCATAGATTTTAAAAACTTCAGTTAGCCACTATATATACCATTCACTTTACAGAAGGACAGTAATTTCTATCTCTACATGAATATAACATGCATCTAAAAATTAAAACTACAATAACAACAAAGCTTAAATTACACAATGGGGGCTCTTATTCATAATATGCTTCATAACTATAAGGAAAAATGGTTTCCTAATTTACATAAATACAGACAGCTCACAATAGCTTATAAATGTCCCCCACTTATAATATTTACATACTCACTACCTTGAATGTACAAAAAGAGTTAAACAAAACCTGAATTGACCCAGAATCATCTCTTAGTGTGAGAAAGGCAAGCTTTCCGAATGCCCTCCTGGCCACAATTCTTCCCGCAACAGATACGTGGTCACTCTCACTATTTTTTTCCTCACCATTTGCCAAATCTATATAGATATCTTGCAGCTGACTAGCACCGTGAGTTTTGTCCCATTCATAAGCATACGGATCAAGCCCCTTGCTTCTCAATTCTTCAACCTACAAATAACCACAAAGAAGGATTGTCAAAAATGATAATCCTTTCCACAAAAATTAAGACAATCTAAAAATAAAGACCCCTAGTTTGTTAGTTCTCCGACAAACACTACATCTCAACCAAAATCTTTACATTTGTCCGAACCATGCATTCAATTTTTGCATTCTATCCCCAGCAGAAAAAAAGCCGCTAAGTAAAATTAGTCTTAAACTACTCCTTTTTTACACACATGATATTCTCATTTTGCTAGAACTGTCAATAAGCGGGGAGAACAGATAAGAAAGATAAATTTTGATCACAAAATTAACTACAAGGCAATTGATATCGTTCCTGCATTGAAGTTCAACGAAAAACCACACAATGCACAATTTTCCAATTCAAAACTCAGCTTCAATTCAGTTTTAAACTCGTCCATACACGAAACACAGCAATTAGAAGAAAACGGAAGAACACGACACCGTTGCAAGTGAGCGATAGCCACTTACCTTCTTCAAGCGTATGGCTCGAATGGCGTCCCTATCAGAAGTCGAAGTGGTAGACGACGACGCCGAGCTCCGGCGATTGCGACCGGCAGCCCTGGTATCAGCGGTGGTGGAAGATGAGCAGGCTCGGAAAACGAGCGTTCGAGGTGTTCGACGAAATGCGTGAGAGTGAAAGAAGTGCTTCAGTGGGTTCCATGTTAGAGTGCAGATTCTCAGCGCTTCCATTCTCTCTTTCACCACTGGGTCGTACCACAGTCTGTTTATTATCTTTCTAGTTTCGGATGTAGTTACGACACAACAGTTTGAACGGCTACAATATCTAAATTATTATATTTTAATAAAATATATTTCGTTAATATCGAACTTAAGATTGAGTTTACATAAATAAATAAATTATAGAAAATTTGATGTAGTTAAAAATAAAATATAAGTTATGCTTACATTTCAAAGTCCATTCATCATTTGTCATTTTGTGAATATTTATTAAAAGTAAAAAAATAAAATAAAACAAAATATGAGATATTACACTAAACTCATAAAATTTACATTTTAGGAAACGTAAATAAATTATATCTATGAAAAAATTTAAATAAATACATGAAGATAAATATTTTATGAATTAAAAGTAAATTAGTTAACTTATCATAATAATTTCGTTTATGTAAACATTAGAAGTTTTGAATTACATATACTTACAAAAATGAAAACACGTTATTTTTCTCTAAGATTACGAGGAATCACTCGTTGATTTAAAATATCATATAAACTAAAGAAGAATTACTATCCAACTAAAACCTTTGAAAGTCATCTCTCTAAACATGCTCCAAAGTATAAGTGACATTTATAAACTTAGTATAAATAATTGGTTCCCTTAAAAAAGCTTAAAAGTTATCCAGATATTCACTCCAACTTCCTCTAAAGAGTATCATCACATGAAGCAAACTCAGGATAACTTAGTTGCACCATTAGTATTCACCTTAAGTCAATTAGTAGATAAAACTTGTTATATTACGTCCATAAATGAAACTATCTTACCTTTCCTAGTTTGAATATTAAAATTTTCAATACCAAAAAAATCAGAGATAGTATTACTTATATGCTTCTTAGATTTATTCTCACTCATGCAGTAACTCCTTTCACTGACTCCTTAATTTGAAAAATAACAAAAGGAAACTCAATTGGATACTAAAACCTACTATGATTTCCCATCCTCCAAATAATTGCATTAATGACAATCACTTTAATCACTTTAAGCAACTCATTACAAGGAAACTTCATAAATTAAACAACCAAATCCAAAGAAAATTGTAAATCCTGAAAAACTTCCTTCAACCATTCTCAACATCCTATAATAATAGAACAATTAAAAAATAAATGAGAAAAAGATTCAACATTATTACCACAATAAAAACATATAAAGCATAAAACTACTTTTTTTAACCTCCAAATCAATAGATAACCAATCACACAATAACTTTTAAAGAACCAAAGTTTTAGTTGGTGACACCTTATCTAACCAAATCAAGTTTCCTCAATCTACACATTCCCTATTAGAAGAGTGAAACTTCTTTTGCAACTTTTTAAGATAGCACAAAAGAAGAAAAATAACATAAGTTGGTTAAAAAAAAAAAAGAAAAGTTCTAGTGAGTACCTATCTAGGCTAAACTAACAACAAAGTATAACCTTACTTTGTCAAAATAAGAAATTGTAGCCAGTTTAGATATGTAAATGTTAGAACACCAACAATCATTCTAAAGATTAATATAATTACCCTCACCTAGTGTACAAAAAGTATTTTCAAGAATAACATCATATGCATCCTTAATACCATGCCAAATTAATGACGATTTAAAGAACATATATTTCTGATACTTAGATTTAAGAAATCGAAGATACGCATGAGTTTAGTCCAAGTCATTTTTCCATAAGCAAACTCTCAAGCTAAATGTAGCAGTTATGTTTTATTTTCCAATTGAATATAAGTAACCTACAAATCATCACTCACCTAGAACCACATAAGATAGACCATTTAACAGTGAGCAATCCCCATGTTTTTGTGTACATCGAGTTCAAACAAAATTTTGAATTCATTGTTTAATCTCAAGAAGAAGCTTAGTAGGTCATTTGTAAACTTGGAAGCTATAAGACAATAAGTAACAATTACCGAATTTACTAGTTGAATTCTATTCCCATTAATACTAAGCAACTTTCCTTTCTAAGAGACAAGTTTAATATGAATCTTATCTACCAAAGGTTGAAAAAATCACTCTTTAGGAACTTCCACAAAATTTGGCGCACTCAAATACGTAAAAGGAAGATATATGTGATTTTAAGAGAGAACCCTCTTGAGAACAAAAGAAGAAGAAGCATCATTAGTGTATAAGTGACTTTTAGCAGGACTTACCCACTAACTAGAGAAAGTGTCATACTCATGCAAGAAAGATTTCAAATGTTGTAGGGTTCTAGCATCTCTTTTATAGAAAACAAATATATCATCACTATAAAGAATATGAGAAGAAAATTGTATCCCTAAGGACCAACCGTAGGAAGCATAAGTTTTTAGAAAAAAGCTCTAAGACGCCCCTACTCAAAACCTCCCCAGCAAAACAAAAAAGCAAAGGAGAGAAAGGATCTCCTTGTCTAACACTTCTATCACAAGCGAAGTAACTAGTCAAACCATCATTAACCCAAATAGAAAGACGAGCAAATTACAATATATGAAGAATCCACGTCAAAAAGCCTTCATGAAAATCAGAACAACACAACGCTTGATTTAAGAAATTCTAATTAATGATATAAAAGTCTTGGTTATATCAAGCTTAGTGACTATATTACCACCCTTGACCCTTTTAGATAGAAGATTAATAACTTCAGAAATAATACAAATATCATCTTTAACATGTTCCTTAAGAGAAATAATTCTATTAGTAATCACTATAACCCTATAAGCTAAAACTTTTGTCGAAAATCATTTATGCATTTTATAACTTTAAAAATAAAAGAAATAATATTCAAATTTATATCAGGAAGAATCCTTAGCAAAAGAATTATTGGTCATTTAATCACAAATTATTTTATAGCTTAATAATCACAAAACATTTAAAAATAACTTTAAATTAATATTAAGAAAGTTTATATATTTCATCATATTAATTCAACTCTTAGCATGTACAATTTCTCAATAAGAGTTTCTATTTTTTAATTTAGTTAAACTAATGTTAAAACTTTCTTTTAAAGTAAGGTATTTGTATAAACGAATGTGATACAATAAATACCGAATGAAAGAAATATAACTATTGCCAATTATTTTTTATATGATATTATCGGAATATATATATATATATATATATATATATATATATATATATATATTCTAAAATTTGTTTAATAATTAATAGTAAGAAGAAACTTGTAGTTCTAATATAATTTATTTTATTGGATCATATTTATTTCTAAAAAGTTATTGAAAAAAAACATAATAAATACCCACTTTGACTTGAATGTCTTAAATTATTTTTACTTTCACTTCCTTGTATTAAATTATATTTATAATATAAATTAAGTTCAAAATAGTATTTTGGACTTTAATAAAAGAAGAGTTTTTGTCACTATATTTATTAGATTATTAGGTCTATCAATCTTCTCCACCAACATATCTCATCCCACCATGATATATATCATGATGAAAATGCATTTTAATATTTATATGTTTCATCTTTATAAATATTCGTATGTTCTCAAGTGAATTGCATTATATATGTGTTTCAAGTCTTTTTAGAATTAGGAATAGTGTGCTTTTTAATGTGAATGTTTGAGTTAGATAGAAATATAATGTGAAGATTATTACATTAATTATTATATATTTTACACTTTATTAGTTTAATGGTTTAAACTGTTCTACTAAATAACACTTGGTATAACTATAATGTAATTTAAGTGTGATCTCGTACACATGTTTGTGAGTTAATGAAAATATTAAGATGAGTCACGGGTTTGGATTTTTCTTTTATAGAAAACTCTATAAATTGGTATAGCATAGGAGTAAAAGAAGAGGAAAAATAGTTGTTACGGTAATATTATTAAGAACTTTCTTTTATATCTCTCTCTGATGTTATCTTATATATATTTGTATTGTTTTAATTATATTAAATTGCTATTATTAAGAGTTAATTATTTTATTACCATGTGTTTGCTAATATAGTGTATTAACATTTATGAAAAATCTTAATTTGCATGGTATGCAGGATTTGAAAGAAATAATGAGTTCAAAACAAAAGGACTAAAAAACTAAGAAGAAATCAAGCTTCTTCAAAACTATATCAAAACTCTCAAATTTTGGAAAGAAAAAGAAGATTGCATCAAATGCTCCAAAAGAAGATGTTTCAGAAGAAGATTCTTCATACTCTCCAAAACACTATGGTGAATTTTCAAACACTTTCAACCATGATCATGAGAAAGAAGAAGAATTTTCAGACTCCTCTTTCAACCATGATCATGTGAAGGAAGAAGAGTTTTCAAACACTTTCAACAATCATGTGAAGGAAGATGAATTTTCAAACACTTTCAACCATCATGTGATGATAAGGAATGATTCTCCTCTGAGATCTTCCATCATAGAAGCATCTCAATATCATGGAGAGAGGGGAGAGGAATTTCTGAAAGCAACCTATTACTTCAATGATCATTACTCTGAAGGATGTTCTATTATGTGATTAATGTGCACAAGTGAAAATGATTGTTAGTTTCAGAAATCGTTTTATATGTTTTTCGAATTTTAATTGACGTTATTTGATGGATAAGTTGTTTTTCTTTACATTAAGTTTTGCTCAATAAATATATTTATTCCATATATATTACTTGCTTTAATTATTATTTTTCCTTTTTTTATAATGTTATAAAGAATTAAATGAATGCTTAGTATTGTCATTGAAATTTAGCAAATGTTTTAGATGATTCTTAGAAAAAAAATAATCTAATCTTTTATAACTAGAGTTATCTCCTTTATGATGATAATTGTTTCGATTTCAAATAATAAGTTAAAATAACATTATTAATCACTACAGTTGTTCTGGAGTCAAGAATTTTAATTATGGTTTTGTATTTTAAAAAGTCTTAAAGGATGAAAAAGAAAAAAAATATTTAAACGATTATTAACATCGATGAGAGAAATACTTTTTATACACATTAGATATTTCATAAATTTATATATTTTTATTGATTTTCTATTAAAAATTTTCATTTTATTAAAGGCTAAAACTATTATTTTATT